GTTTCTCCTCTGTTAAATGGATTTATACTCTTTACATCTTACGATGACCAAAGAGTGAATGAGATGATCTATACATAAAAGACCTGGCACAGAGACTTGCCACATAGTAGGGCCTGTGATGGTGGTAGATTGTCCATGATGTTAGGATCTCTTAGTATTATTACAGTCTGATGGTGATAGCTGATACTTAAATAGCACTATTAATGTGTTGGACATTGGTCCAGCTGCCTTATAACTATTAGTTCAGTGAATCTTTAGACAGTCCTGTGAGGTAGGTGCTATTACTGTCCCCTGTTTTATAATGAAGAAAACTGATAAGTTTTTAAGTTGGCTCGAAGTTATACAGCAAAATTGCTTGGCCAGGACTTGGGCCAAGGCAGTTGGGCCCCAAGTTGATGCCCTTAACCACCTGGCTATATTGCCTTTCATGTATACCCTGCCTCTCATTACACAGTAAGGCCTGAAGTTATCAATCTGGCCTTTTTTTGTGGGTGGGGAGAAATGTGAGAAATACTATAATCTTTCTCTGAGTTGTCCACTATTCGGGCGAGGATTAAGGAGAGAAATGCAGATTTATAAAAAGCAGTTTTCCATTTGGATTTAGATATCAAGTTTCATATACAGCTTAACCACCCTGCCTTCCCCCAGGTTGTTACCACTGGTCCTTTGCTAGGTTCAGAAACGGCTTTCCAAGTTGTTCTTTAGCTTTGATGGATAAGCAGGGAGTACGCAGGACAAAAAACTAGCAGATTTTCAGTTACTGACTAAATTGAGCATAGAATATTAGGAACGTTCCTAAGGAAAGGTGGAAGATCCTTCCTGGATGATAAGAGGGAATGATAATACCATGGACCCAGAATGCAGCCAGAGCATGAAATATTTCGTATGTGTGAATTTTGTTAAAATAAATAGTTTCAGATTATTTTCATTTTGAATTTATAGAAGTTAAGTGATTCAGATTCTAGATGAATCCACAAATCTACAAAAGCCTTTATTTATTTACTTTCTTTTTCTTCTTTTTTTTTTTTTTTTTTTTGTACTTTGGGCTCTGGGGTACCATGTGCACATACTGCATCCTGCAGCTTTGTTGCCCAAGTACATACATGCCACATCCCCCCCACCAACAAAAAGCCTTTATTTATGGTATAAACTATGACCTCTTTATAACTGGCCAGTAATTTACAGTTTGCAGGAGGAAGAAGGGTTCAAGGCAGACAAGCTTTAGAGCCGGAAGACCCCCTTGGATTTCATTTCCCCCTTCCTACTTACCTTTGTGATCTTAGGCAAGTTAGTTCCTAACCAGCATCCCTATCTGTGAACTGGGGATAATAGATCTGCCTCTGGGGGTTACTGTGAGGATTCAGTGAGGTAAGGTATATAGCGTGCTTGGCACATAATGAGCATGTATTAAATGGAAGTCATCATCATACTGGGCTTCAAGGATAAAGTCCTTCTAAGAAGCTACTTTCAGAAGGCTAATTTTAATAGAAATATCTGCAAGATCCAAGGAATAAAATAAATGTCAGATGATGGGATTAGTGGCTTTGAGAGTGGAGCAGGGAGTTATCTATAGGAATAAGGGATCCTTCCTGGTACTCCCTGACTCCCCTGTTTTCCCTCATCCACGTTTCCCAGGCAGCTGCAGGAACTGGTAGGACAAAAATGTGCAAAGAAGACCAGCCTGAAATTCCTCCTGATGCAGCCAGGCCTTAGCTCCCAGTAATCAGGAAAGTGGTAGCTTATATATAATCCAGCTGTCAGGTAGGCTGACAGCTCAAGAAGCCCGACAGCCTGTGCACTGCTTTCAGAGTATACATGCCAGGGTGCAGGGTTACTTAACAAGAAAATATGTTTACATAAACAGATCGTGTCTGGTTTTGATTAAATTATTGCATGCGAATGACCCATTGGAGATGCCATAATGTGTGCTAATTATAGTAACCTCAAAAAAATGACATATTAAGAAATAGGAGAACTTTTAAGTTTATCTGGTGTTTTTAAATTACGAAAGTGGCCTTCATTTGTTATAGCAAATTTGAAAAATACAGAAAAACACAAAGGAAAAATAAAAACACTTTAATTACACTATCAATTATAACTACTATTCACATTTTAGAAATAACCTTCCAGTCTTTTTCCTCTATTCCTTTATGTATTTTTTTTGCTTAGGTTTACCTTTTTAAATTTTATACATAATGTTTGTATATATTTGTGGAGTACATGTGATATTTTGTTACATGCATAGAATGTGTAGTGATCAAGTCAGGGTATTTGGGTACCACCTGGAGTATTTCTCATTTCTATACATTGAGAACATTTCATGTCCTCTATTCTAGCTTGTTTTGAAATATATACTACATATACTACATTATTGTTAACTATAGTCACCCCACTCACCTATTATATTTTTAAAATTATAATTTGTATAATTTGTATTTTTATAATTATAATTTATAATGTGCTATAATTTGCTGCTTTCATAAAGTAACATATGATAAACATGTTTTGTAAAATTAAATATTTTTGTAATATCACGTTTAATATTTTTATGGTTATTTCACAGTATTTTATTTAATCAGTCCTGTTGTTGTTAGACCTAGGTTGTTCCCAAATTTGGGCTATTATTTTTTTAAAAAAAATTTTTTTTTGGAGATAGGCTCTAGTGCAGTGGCACAGTCATAGCTCACTGCAGCCTTGAACCCTGGGCTCAGGAGATCCACCTCAGCCTCTCCAGTAGCTGGGACTATAGGCACGCACCACCACACCCAGCTAATTAAAAAAATTTTTTTGTTGAGACCAGCGTTCAGTGTTTCCCAGGCTGCCCTCAAACTCCTGGCCTCAAGTAATCCTCCTGCCCTGGCTTCCCAAAGCACTGGGATTATATATAGATGTGAGCCACCATACTCAGCCTGAAAAATGAATTATTATACCCAGATTTCACTATACATTTATAGAAGTGGATGTCAGTGGCTTCTACACACTGTGTTTCTGGGAGGTTTTGGAGATGGGAGCAATCAGAGATTGTTTAATAGGCCATTGTCATAAAAAGCAGCCCTCCAGGGTCAGGGGTAACTCCCTTTCCTTTACCAGACTGAAGGGGCCCACAGCTGTTTCCTTAAAGTTCAGCTTTCTGCAATTCCCTTCACCCAGTATTATGTGCCAGCATCCACTGATCAATAGCAATAGTGCCTCTTAATTGAAAATTGTTCGCATGGACAAGTGATAGGTAGTAGCGACTACAAGAATTACCTGCATTTCCTTCCGTACTTTGATTTACTTAACACCTTTTTTGTTGGTTTTAAGAGATACAGGGATTCTCTCTCTTGCCCAGGCTGGAGTACAGTGGCATGATCACAGCTCACTGGAGCCTCCAGCACCTGGGCTGAAGCAACCCTCCTGCTTCAGCTTCCTGAGTAGCTGGGACTACAGATGCGCACCATCATGCCTGGCTAATTTTTAATTTTTTTGTTGTTGTTGTTACTATGTTGCCCAGACTGGTTGTGAACTGCTGGGTTTAAGGGGTCCTCTCAAGGTGCTGGGATTTGGGAGAATTGCTTAGTGGGGGCTACCATGCCTGCCTCTGTTTAACACTTTGAAATTAGAATTCTTTGAAAAACAAATTTACTACATATATTTTTAAAACACAATACCTTTTTGACATAAATATAGAGTATTATAGCTTAAAAGAACTGTGTAGACTTCTGACCATATATATGCTTAAATAGTTATATATGTTTTAAGCATTTGTTTACTTATAAAGGTTTAAAAGCTTTATTTAAGTAGTGTAAAAAGGACTGAATGTATGTAAGAATTCAGAATAGGCAGAAGTGCTGATGAAATAGCAATTAGAGAAAAGATCAAATACACCCTGAAACTGAAATGAATCTCTACAGTGCTGCAGCTGAACATGGAAATGAGTGAAATGCCTCAGACTGAGAGAAACACTAGATGTGATTAATCAACACGTTAACAAAAGCTGAAGAATGTAGCTAAAACTGCGTGTTCTGCCTGGGAGCCCTGCACAGCCTCTGATGCTTCCCTCAGATCCCTCACCTGTCCTCCTTCTGTCTGACCAAACACGCCTTTCAGAGTCAAAATAATAAGACAGTTTCCTGTGCCTCTAATCCTTTCAATAACCATTAACAGATCACAGGAGCAGTTTTTGAATCTGATCATTGGACCCGTTAGGTGTTATCTGAGAAGCACAAGATTGTCATTTGAGTTGACAAAGAAATTCATGAATAAATGTATAAAATGCTGCAGTGTTTTATTAAAGTCTGCCAGAAGAACTCTCTGTGTGATGCAGGGTGGCTAGTACTCCTGGCTTCCAATACTACTGAACCTGTGTCTCTCGTGTTTTTATAATGTTTCAACAAAAATGTGAATCAGCAGCCACTGTCTTTTCATCATTATAACTCAAAAATCTGAGATTTCTTTTTTAATTTAAAAAATTTTTCCACATAATGCCAGGTCATACAAGCTTTATTTATTTAAGCTAACCTGTTTACAATTTGTTTTGAGTGTTTGGACTGTTATCATTAGTGTTGCACATATATCACGTTGCCTCCTGTGAAGCAGGTACATTTCTAATAAGCATTTTTCCTGTATCACCTCTGATTCTCACAGTAGTCTCTCAAGGTATAACTATTCCTACATTACGTATTAGGAAACGGAGGTTCAGAGAGGGTAGGTGAGCTGCTCATATCTGAGAAGTGGTATAGCCATGTATGACTCCAGGTCACTGACTCAAAGGCCATTTACCTCTTACTTGGTTTTGGGGACAACTGAATCAAAACAGACTTGCTAATAGAACACATGAGTATGTGAAGCCTTATGCAGAAAAAAACCCAAACTCTTCTATCTTGGATGACTAGATCCTCAAGACATACTTTAATACTTTACTAAGGCGTATCAGCTTTTCATCCGTATGTGGTGTTTTTTAAATGTTAAATTCACTGTTTCAGACTTCCTCCCCTCCTCCTGCCCCTTTGATCTTCCAGGCCCTCAGTACCGCCTGGAGAAGCAGAGCGAGCCCAATGTCGCCGTTGACCTGGACAGCACTTTGGAGAGCCAGAGCGCATGGGAGTTCTGCCTGGTCCGCGAGAACAGTATGTTGGCCGCCTCGCTCCATGCCCGCTTTGTCCGTTAAAAACTTGCTTAGAAGTCATGTGTTTGGAAATGCTCACTGGTCTGGCTTCCCTAGACAAATCTGAAGTGACTGTTTTCCAAGGCAGACTGCAGTCTTCATGCCAAAAGTATATCCCAAAGTGAAATGATTGATTTCGTGCTTTTTCAAGAGGCTGCATCCTGTTTAGCACACTGTGATTAATATTTTCCTGTTAAACTATATCTTCCTAAGTTGGGAGCATCCCTGGAAACAGCTTAGAAGTATGAGACCTTTTCTGAAGGAAAGGCTATTTTGTATATAAAGCAACTGGGCCTGCCAGTGTCACTCTTCAGACATCAGATTTTAGAAAAATTTTAACCATTTGCATATTCTAGCAGGAGGCGGTGTGATTCCTTATGCTGTGTTGAGAACTTTAAAACTTGTTAACTTTGTTCATTCTCTCTTCAGAGTTTCCAAATTGTGCATTTTGCCATCCTCTCCTCCACACTCCCACTGACACAAGGGCAAGTGACGTGTGAAAACTGCGCTTGCGGCAACAGACTATCTGTAGTCTTTCCTGCTTTGGAGCTTTTACACAGGCTGTTTCTTCCACCTGGAATGCTCCTTCCCTTATTCTGGTTAATAACTCTTTCTCATTCTTTGTCTCAGTTTAAATGTCCTGTCTTCAGAGAGGCCACCATCATCTTCCTGTCCCCCATTGCTTAAACCTGATCCACCCCTCATTCGAGTCCGTCATATTCTGCCACACAGCGTACTACCTTTTCCGCATGTGTTTCTATCTATTCATTTATTTGTCATTCTTATTTTTTTAGAGATGGGGTCTTGCTGTGTTGTCCAGGCTGATCTCAAACTCTTGGCCTCAAGCAGTCAGTCCTTCTACTTTGATATCCCAAAATGTTGGGATTACAGATGTGAGCCACTGCAGCCAGCCTGTATTTAGAATTACATATTTTTCTCAGTGACTATTTAATATCTCTCTCCCCTGCTAGATTGTCAGGTCTGTGAGGGTGACCCTGACCCATATCAAGTTGCCCTTCATATAGATCTGCTGTAGACTATGTACTGTAGGATCTCAGTAAATGTAGATTGAATGAGTGAGTGAATGGTAGATCTTTACTCATGCCACTGACCCTCTAAACAAGATCAAACTGCTACTCTTTGGTTTTTCTTTTTTTGTTTTGGTTTGGTTTGGGTTTTGGGGGTTTTCTTGAGACAGAGTCTTACTCTGTCACCAAGGCTGGAGTGCAGTAGCATGATCTTGACTCACTGCAACCTACACTCTCTGGGTTCAAGCAGTTCTCATGTCTCAGCTTCCTAAGTAGCTGGGAGTACAGGCATACACCACAATATCCAGCTTTTTTTTGTTTGTTTGTTTGTTTTCTGTATTTTTAGTAGAGATGGAGGATTGCTATGTTGGCCAGACTGGTCTTGAACTCCTGACTTCAAATGATCTGCCTGCCTCGGCCTCCCAAAGTGCTGGGATTACAGTCGTGAACCACCACACCCAGCCTAGGATGCTACTCTTTGACTAGGGCCCCAGACAGCCTCTTCTAGAGAGAATGCACAAAATTCACCAGGAAGGTGGTAAAATATGCTTTTGACATTTGACAACAAATTCTCAAAGGCAGAAGGCTGGTGTCCCCACTGTCTCCAACCAGTTATAAGTACCTTATGTGAATACACATAGAAATAAAAATCACTGATTCCCAATGGTCTTAAAAATTCAATTAAATAGTAAACATTTATGAAAATATTTATTCTTATCAACAGTGTAAAATACAAACATTTTAGAAGCACATATCAAAGGGAGTCCTCATTGCTGGAGAGAATATAGAGAAATAGGCATACTCAAACACTGGGGTCTGTGTTTTTGGAAATTATCTTAAGGAGGCCAGGCAGGATGGCTCTTGCCTGTAATCCCAGCACTTTGGGAGGTTGAGGTGAGCAGATCACCTGAGGTCAGGAGTTTGAGACCAGCTTGGCCAACATGGCAAAACCCTGTCTGTACCAAAAACACACACACAAAAAAAAAAATTTGCTGAGCATGGTAGTGGGCACTTGTAATCCCAGCTGGGTACGGTGGCTCATACCTGTAATCCCAACACTTTGAGAGGCCAAGGTGGGTGGATCACCTGAGGTCAGGAGTTTGAGACCAGCCTGGCCAACATGATGAAACCCCGTCTCTACTAAAAATACAAAAATTAGCTGAGCATGGTGGCGCATGTCTGTAATCCCAGCTACTAACAGGGGCTGAGGCAGGAGGATTACTCGAACGTGGGAGGTGGAGGTTGCAGTGAGCCGAGATCGTGCCACTACACGGCAGCCTAGGCAACAGAGTGAGAAGAAGAAAGGCTGAACAGTAAAATGAGCTAAGCATTCAGCTCAAGAAATTAAAAATGGAAATAGAAAAAGAAACCTAAAACAAATAAAAGAAAGGAAGCAATAAAGAGCATAGAAATTAATGAAATAGAAATTCAGAAAATTAGAAGCAAGAACAGTTTCTTTGAAAAGACTAACAAAATCAATGCACCTCCAATGAAGTGGACAAAAATGAGGAAGAGAAGCACAGATGTAATAGGAATGAAAAGGAGATACATTGCTGGTCCTGTCATTAAACATTCAGATCCTGTCTTGTAAATAAATACAAGATTATTTTGAAAAAATGTATACCAAAAGTATTTAAATTATAGATGAACAAATTTATTTTTTAAAAAAAGACAACAAAATTGACCCAGGAAGAAATAGAAAACCTGAATATTCTCATAGCTATTTTAAAAAGTGAATTAGTAATTAGGAACCTTCCTACAAAGAAAATCCAACCCCACATGACTTCACTAGCTAGTTTCTACCAAAAACTTAAGGAAGAAATAACTCCAATCCTATATCTGCTGTTGCAGAGAATAGAAAAAGAGGTTATAACCTACAATTTATTTTAAGAAGTTATCATAATCTTGGTACCAAACTCAGTAAAGACCATACAAGACAGAAAATTTTCAGGCCAATGTTATAAATATAGATGCAAAAATTCTGAACAAAATATCAATAAACTGAATCTAATATTATTTTGAAAGAACAATATAACATTACCAAGTTGGGTTTATTCTAGTGCACATTTGGTTTAACTGTGATGTAATATTAAGGGGAAAAAATGTCAAGACACATAGATTAATCCCAACTATGTAAAAACAAACAAAAAGCAAAACTGAAAAGAAATTGTTAGTGGTTGTCTCTGGTTGGCAGAGACAAAATGAATTCTGGCTAATTTCCTTTTCCTTCCTGTTTATATTTGTTCTTTCAAGAGTTTCTAAAGTGAGCATGCATGACTTTGTAAGAAGGAAAAGCAAACAAAAAATAAGGGCAAGTCCACATAAAGATCATATAGTGAGACATTGTCTTAGTGTAACAATTGAAATTTCATACGATTTCTATTACCACACCATAGTGAGCCAAAGTTAAAAGTTACATTAATATACTCCTATGTGACTTGCTTATCGGAATTTTTACCCCATAGAAATAAACAGTCTCTCCCTCTGTCCCTGTCATTTTTTTTTCATTCTTTAAAGGCTGTCATCTTAAACATATTTGAGGAACTAATTCATAGGTAGGAACTTTATAATGGACTCTGTTTCAAAATGTTGATTCCTTGTTATACAAGTAAAATGAACTGGTATTTATTAGAATCTTGGTAAATTTCTTGGATATGTAACACTTATACATGTAAAAAATTTTTTTCAGGTAACTAAAGGATCTGTAGTGAAAATGAAGTCTCTCCCATCCCCTAATTCCCCTCCCAGAGGCAATAATTGTTTCTGGTTTCTTCCATGTCTTTCCAGGGATCATCTGTGCATATGTAAGCACATTTTGTATGTGGGTATCATAGGTGTGTGTACACACAAGCACACTCATACATATACATACACAGTTGTAGTTCTTTTTTAAAAACACAAATGGTAACTTTTATCATTTTAATAATATAGAGATTATTCCACATTAATCCTCATTATTTCACATATAAATTCGCCAATTTCTTTTTAACTACTATGTAGTATTCCACAGTATATTATAATTTCAAATTAGTTTTTTTGTTTGTTTTTGAGGCAGAGTCTAATTCTGTTGTCCAGGCTGGAGTGCAGTGGTGAGATCACAGCTCACTGCAGCCTTGACCTCCCTCACTCAAGCAGTTCTCCCACCTAAGCCTCCCGAGTAGCCATGATTACAGACACACACCACTACACCTGGCTAGTTTTTTTTAATTTCCTTTTTGTAGAGATGGTGTCTTGCTATGTTGCCTAGGCTTGCTTCTGCCTCTCGTACTACTGAGATTACCGGAGTGAGCCACCACACCCAGCCACAAATTGGTTTTTATAAAAAAAGACAAGTTTTCTAACATTAGGAAAGAGAAGCTGTGAGGGTTAGTGAATAAAGCTTTGCAATCTGGGCTGTAGTTCCCAGTCTATTTCTGAACATGAACATGGGCTTAATTCAGTTATGTGATCTCTGTGAGCCTCAGCATCCCCATCTTAAAGGATTTGCAAGATACTTGCAGTCACTTTTTGATACTCTGAGTCAAAATTACTGTGTTAACAAAAGAAGCCCTATCAGCACTTACAAAGATCACAGTCCATGGAATATCATAACTAGTCTTCGTAAAATGGAAGTAAATTATAAAACAATTTATTCTTTTAAAGGCTTTTAAAAAGATTTTTTAAGTAGGAATTTCAACTAAAAACTACATTGTTTTCCATTAGCTACCTATCAAGAAAGTGGATTGAGGCAAAGAAAAACATTCCAAAAGCAGAATTATTTGCATTTCTGTTGGTATGTTTGGTTAGGACAGCCTCCCTATCCTTAAAGCCATTATAGATGTGGACTAAATTCTGATCCTGCATTTTGCAGTCCTTAAGAGAATGTGCTGTCAAACCAGACTGCCTCAGTTCACATTCTGGCCTTGCCACTTCCTAGCTGTGTGGCTTTGGACAA